TAATTCAGGACACATAACGGCCTGCCCTGTTTGCGTGTGGAGAATGCTGCTGTTTCAGTGAAGCCAATGAGAGTTTTGTTCGGTGTTTTGGTTTTTTAAAGCAGTTTAGTGGTCCTATTGCAAAGTACCATCCCCTTGCAGAATGAGCAGGAGTCGTTGTTGTACTTCAGTGCCCTCTCCCCAAACAAAGATGCAAGGAGCGCTGATCTTCCAAAGCGCCATCTCAGATCAGATTTGGGACCGGAGCGCAGCCGCCTCACGCCCGGGGGCCGCGGGCAGGCCGGGATGTGCTGAGCGGGCCGGGCGGGCCCCCGGCGCCGCATTAGGACCCTGGTCAGTTCCAGGGCCGCGGTCGGTCCCGGGCTGCCGCCGGCCCCGGCCTCCCCCCGCCGGGCCGGGCCGCGCCGCCGCGCCCGGGCGCCGCTCGCAGCCGACCCGCTCGGGCAAGCGGGCTCCGGCTGAGGCCGGGCTGCACCTTCCTGCTGGAAATGCTGTTGTACTAGGGAGAGGAGGGACGCGGCGGAGCGCTGGGAGCTCTGAAGGGAGAAGGGGTAAGGGCGTGTGGAGAGGAACGAGGGGGGAAGCAGCCGTGAGGCGAGGTGCGGGCCCGGCAGCGCCCGGGCGGCGGCTGAAGGGCTGAAGGGCTCCGCCGCTCCCGGGGAGCGCCCGCGCCCCGCGGCTCCCGGGAAGGGCTCCCCGGCGGGCGGAGCGGCGCGCTGGAGGACACCTGGCGGACACAGCTCCGAAGTGCCGCTCTGGCACAGCCTCCGGCAGCCCGGGGGCCGCTCAGCCCCGGCTCCGCACCCGGAGCTGCGCCGCTGTCCTGTCTGCCAGCCCTCGGCAGCTCCCGGCTTCCTGGCCTCTTCTTAAGCCGCACCCGCTGAGCTGCGGCGGGGCAGGAGCCCCTTCTGGCTGCGGCACGGGGGCTGCCTTAGCGGCCTTCTCCTGCAGGGTGGCCCTCATCGATCCTAGCAGCTGAGCTTGGGAGGGAACAGTGGAGTCCGAGAATTGCTGACCTGAGAGCCACCGTCAGCTAAAAGTCATCTGGACAGCTTTAAAGCCCGGTTTAGCAAAACTTCAGTGTTGGCACAGGCAGATGTGCGGAACCTTCTGCCAAGTTCTGATGGGTACAGGCTGAGAAATCATCTTTGCTTCTCCCCTGGCACAGCTGAACACAAGCGCTGTCTATAAAGTGGATATCAAAAAGTATCTGCTGTGTCAGAGAGTGTTTCAAGTTGACTGGTTCAAGGAGTGATTTCTAGAGATTCTGAGAATTTCATTAAAGTCGTTTTAATTAAGGCCAAGATATTTTTAAAACCATGAAAAATCTCAAGCTATCATGCAGTAAAACTGGTAGGGTGTGCTTGTAGCTTGGTTGTGAACTTTGCTTGAGAGGGCAGATGGATGTAAATTAAGATATATAGGGAAAATGAGAAGAACATCTGCCTTTTTCAGCTCTCTATGAGACATGTACAAGCAAGACAAAAATAAAACTGAGCCACTGAGCTTGTTTCAGCATATGGTAGGTGTAAGAAAATTTCTGGAAGTCCCTCTTCTCTCTCTTCAGTCCAGATGCACAGATCAATAGATCATTTAACTACCTCTGCTGTTGATGTTTTAATTTTTTTTCTTTGTAGTGTGCTGAAAACACATGTTAAAATGCAAACGAGTACAAACAGCCACCACAAACACCCAGCAATCTGTTTCCAGGTGATTCCTTGAATCCATGGCTGTTATTTGGCCCCTTTATTTTGACATTTAACAGGAAATTATGCTAGGTGTTCATTTTTTGCTGGGATTTTTAATCTTGACCAGTATACAGGCAAGGATTCCTCTGTCTGCCTCTCACTTATGCATTAAGGATCACAAAATGTAAGAAAATGTAGCATGAGAAAATCAGGAGGCTTAGCTAATTTGTGAAGCACTGTCTACATATAGTCCAGGGTTTTTACCATCCTTTGCTGAGAAGGACTGTTAAAAGAAATAGAAAAGCTCACTGAAGTGAGCTATCTGTAGGGTCTGAGGAGTGCTAATCTGCTTTGGTAAGGACATTGATTCCTTGTGGGGCACAGACAGCAGTAATCCCAGTTCTCAGTCTTCCTCAACTACTTCTGGTGTTTCTGTCTTGTTCTGAAATCCTGGTGAGCAGAAAGACAAGTAGCAAGATGTGTGGCAAGACAAGTGGAAAGATGTTTAATACATTTTCCTATGAGAGTTTATAATATATTTGGTTTTAATACCAAATTAATGGGCTTTTTACCTTCCTTTTTTTCTACTATCTGAGCAGCAAGATCAATCTTGCAAAGGCTTGGGGTTTTTGGTTTACAAAATTGTTGGTTTTCTAACATTGTTTAGATACATTAAATTTAAGAAGATTGGTGAGAAACAGAGAGACAAAACCAATAACTCAGCAGTGTTTTGCAAAGGGTTACTCCAAGGCACGTTCTTCTGAATAATGATGAATTGCTTCCTGATTTGTGGTCAGTGACTTTTTTTGGTATAATTACTGTCAAGAAGGAAGCTGAACAACCAGAGTACATTTCTTAGACCTAGCATAGTGGAGCATTTTCTTCAAAATCCTTACACCTTTTCTGACCAAACCCACTTAAAATATATGTTACCAGAACTGATGATTCCTTTTTGTACAAGAAAGTGACCTGTGAGTACATGTCCCAGAGCCATTTCATATTCTGTTTTGTATGCCACTGTATGCTCGTAAGAGAACTGAGGGTTGTCTTTTTTTTTGTGTGTTCTCCTTTTAGCTATCAGGGCGGGTATAGACCAAAGAATGGAGGGGGGTGGAGGGTGGTTTCATTTTGATCTGGAAGAGCAGTCATTCCAGTTCCTAACTTATTAGAAAAGCAAGCTCTGTAGCAGTGAAGTGATTGATAGATATTGCATATTTTTGTTTGCTGGAACTAGACTTTTAGGGGTTGCCTTTGATAGGGAAAAATAACTTCTGAAGATATTTGACAGTCTCTGTACATTTTGCTTACTGTTTCTTCTTGTATTTCCAAAAAGCACATTTTTAAGGTGGTATTCATCATCAGCTTCCATATGTCTTAGGAAAATGCTAGTACCTAAAAAACCTGTTCATATTGTAACCAACGTGATTGTTCATTTATTCATTTCTGTTTTGCTGACCTGTCACAGAAAATTCGCTGCATTGTTTGCTTTACCTTGTTACATTTGGGGGACAGGGGAGAAGAGGGAGACTTCTCATTTTCTCCTGGCAATGGACTGATCCTGTGCTGCTCTTCTTGTAGGTCACTGGAGTGATAAGCAAAGAGTACATCCCAAAAGGAACACGCTTTGGACCCCTGGTGGGAGAGATCTATACCAGTGATACAGTTCCCAAGAATGCAAACAGAAAATACTTTTGGCGGGTAAGTAGGAAAAAACATCACCCCGTTGTTGCAGTGAGCAGATCACTAAATGAGTATGGCTGAGAAGCTGGGTCACTTCCTGCTGTGTGATGCAGGGGACAGCCTCTCTATGTGGCCAGGCACAAACAGGGCCAGTGGGTGAATTAAGCTGAGTTAAAAGCCTGGCTGTCTTGGATGTAGGGACTGTGTGGGTGGAGAGAGCGGTGGAGATGCACAGCCCTTCCTGGCTCGTTCTTCCAAAATGTATCCGTGCTGATTCTGTAGAGAAATAGTTCTGCTGCTTGCTGTAAGGGCAGGTTATTTTGCATTTCTTCACAGTGGAAAGTGATTCTGATTTATGCAAGTATCACATCCTTGATTTTTCCCACCACGAAGAAGCTGTTAAAGTACTGCATAAACTTTCACTCTGGAATTATGATACATTTTCTGACATTTCTTCCTGCTTCTTGTATAGAGCTGCCATAACACAGTGGTGGTAGTCTTCAGCATGTATCATTCAATTCATAAATCTTTCTAGGCCTCCTCAGAATTGTTAAAAAACCAGCTCATGAATCTCAGCAAAGGGAAAAGAGACAAACACCAGAGGTGGTGCCTAATTTGTACTCCATAGTATAAGCTGGAAGAAAGCAGCAGCCAATGTGTTTTGGTGTGGGCAGTCTGTGCTGTGGAATATGCTTCCAGTTTATCAGTTGACATAATCCTCATTTTCCTTACAGACACATTATTAATTGTTAGAGAACATTCCTTCAGCCCCATCTCATTCCATGGATTTGTTTTGCTGCCTTCTAGCCATGTAGGTTGTGTCTAAATCCGTGGATTTGGGACTGTGTCCAAGCCTCTGCACTCAGGTGCCTGCCTGCCTTAGTAATATCCCAACCTCATATCCAGGTGAAACCCAGGGCATGCACCAGCATTCCCCACACCCCTTTCTTCCTACCTAATTGAATCATTTTGGTTTTCTCAGATCGTCCTTGTACGATGTAATACAGCATTGCACAGGCAGTTATTTGCATGAGTGTTTTTACCGAGCAGGCAACTGTTTTCACATTAACAAGGCCACAAAATGTTTCTTTTCGTTGAACTTTTTGGGAGCTTGTGTCCAGTCTAGGAAGAGATCAGGAGGCTGACACAGGGAAGAGGGGCTGATAGCTATCTTGCAGGACTTCATTCCTATATTGCACTGAGAAACGTGACATCATTCTTATGATGTGATTTTAAGCCTTAATGTGGAGGGATCCTCAGAAATAATATCCTGGGAGCCACCTAGGCATCATCAAAGTCCCTGTTACAATCTCTTGATTCGTTCAAGGCAGACTGCTGCACTGAAAATGAATTCCTTCCTAGGGGTCTGACACAGCCTTGCATATGCAAAGGAAATTGTGGGAGATAACTTCCCACATGTTATTAAAGGCATCCTGGGCTCGCTGGCAGGAGCGGGAACATCTGCTGGGCGCCCGGGGCCGCTGCCCGCGCCAGGGGAGCGGGGCCGGCCGGGCCCGCGTCACTTCTGGGAAGCGCTCCGTGACTCAGCACATCTGGGCGCGCCTTCCCCAGAATAGGTGGGAGCTGGGGGCTGCCTCTGCCGGGGAGCCGGGGCTGTGGCCCCGCCGTGGGAGCGGTGGAGAGCTGGTTTGGGAAGTGGTGGCAGGCGTCAAGCGCCAGAGCCCCGCGTTCCTGGAAGTTTGCGAGCCGGGGTGAGCAGAGAAACGCGGAGGCTCCTCTTGATGCAGCACAACTCGCCCGGCTCCCTTCCATTTTCTCATAACAAACACACCGCAAAATCTCTCGCAAGCTGCTTTGATGAGGCCACATGTATTTCCCCCTTCTCAGTTTACAGGAAGTTACTCTTAAAGAAAGTGATTCTGGTGTTTACGGCCCGCGTTAAAGGGCCAGGCCGCCTCCCTTCTCTGCCCGCCGGGCTCTGGGGACACGGGAGGGTCCCGGCTGGCCGGAGAGGTGCGGGAGACAGTGCTGGGGGCACACGGGCAGGAACACCCCGCGGAGGGTTTTCTCCGCCAGATAAGCTCTGTCTCCCCTTTGGAAAGGCATTTCCTGCTCAGCGAGGTGCGTTGCTGGTGCGAGCTGCTCCCACTTCAAGGTCTGGCTTTTGCCTGGTCATCTGTTTTCAGAAAACCAGGAACCCCATTTCATCCAGCATGGAGCTAGCTCCCCTTGAGAGTAAGCAGTGTGTTTTTACAAGCGTGTTTCCTGGATTTCTCTTGATTTTTTTCCTTTTTTTTTAAATAATTCTCTTATTATTTCAAGAAACAGTAGCTTCTGTCAGTGATGGGAACTTCTTTCCCCTGAAACTGCTGAGCAGTTTTCAGATTCACGTTTTCTTGCCCCTCTGTGGACAAGTCAGAACATGTCCCTTGGTAGGAAAAGTGACATCTCATGGGCTAACCCGTGGTCAGGTCTTCCTTCAGTTATGGCAGGTGAATTTCATCTTTGCCTCGCCCAGCCTGCCTACAAAAGGGTTACAGTTCAACTATGAGCAAGTGTTGCTTTAGGACTCTAGGGGGTGGAGAATGTTTGCATAGTTTAAACCTTTGGGTGGAGGTGGTAGGAAACTGCAAGTACAGAGGCCATAGAAAGAGGCGAGAACTCTGACATAGCACAGCCAGTCAGTCTTATACACAGGTGACTCAAAGCATTAATGCAAGCATGCACTCAGACCTGCCCTCATCAGCATCACCTACTTGTTGATCAGAGCACCAGGAAAAGGGCTGTAAGGTAGACTGTTCACACAGAGAGAGTACTCTGCATTTCAGATTTTGGGTCTTGTTTTCCAAAACTAGCTAAGATTAAATGGAAAAGGTGACTGTGGACTTGCCTTTAAAGACCTTCTTAACTCAGAGGATGTCATTGTTGGAAAGGCAGGAACACAGCTTGAACTCTTACTTCGTCTTAAAAAAAAAAAAAGGGAGCTTATCACTTTTCCTCTCTGGACTCTGTGCCTACATGTTGCATATTGTGCCTATATATATGTATATATATTCACAAGCACTTCCTCTCTATTCCAGATCTATTCAAGTGGTGAACTTCACCACTTCATTGATGGATTTAACGAGGACAAGAGCAACTGGATGCGTTATGTAAACCCTGGCTACTCTGTTCAGGAGCAGAACTTGGCTGCTTGTCAGAATGGAATGAACATCTACTTCTATACCATCAAGCCCATCCCTGCCAACCAAGAGCTGCTTGTGTGGTATTGCCGAGACTTTGCAGAGAGGCTGCACTATCCCCCCTCCAGAGAGCTGACAATGATGAACCTCAGTAAGTGGATTACAGTATAAACAAGGAATGCTAGTAATGTCTCTTCTGCCTATACAATCTAATAATAAGTTGTATAATTACACAGCTGCATCATCTGTTGTGTCACAGGAGGTAGCTTGGAGTGGAAAAGGGGAATTAAAAAACCCAACACAAGAGAATGAGTTCCCTGTGCCTGTTCAAATGGAAAGAGATTATAAAATCTGAGTAGTTGTTTGTTTACAATCTGAGTCTTATCTGGTGAAATTCTGGACAGACAACCTGACCTCTGTCTTCCTAACCATCGCTGTTGGCTCTCTCTCAGACTGTGCAATTTCAGATCTCACGGTGTGTTGAGCAAAAGTCTGCTTTGGTAGCATATACTAAAGGCTGTCCACTCATGCTCCCAAAGGGCTGCCCTCACTGTACCAGGAAGTGGCAATGTGCCATGACTCTGTCTAGGTGTCTGACAAAATACGTGTTTACTGCATAATGCACTTTGAGCCTTGCATCTACCCTTACTTATCTTGTGGGAGCAAACCTCCTGTGGTCTTCTCATCTGGTTACTTGTGTTTTGAGCTCAGTGTACTTTGTCCCCATTTCTTGACTTTTTATTGCAGCTTTCATTTTCTGTTCAAAAATACTAGCATTGGTAGCAGAGGGAAGAGGTGTTTCCAGGAGTTTGTGTTCCTCTGTGGTTTCTGATTATTTCCAGCCTTGGTGCCTTACTTCTCGCTTAATCACTGCCTGACACCTCACCCAGAGCCCCTTCTAGAGAAGAAAAGATTCTTGCTGACTTCTCAGTGGACTTTTAGGCTACTTCCCCTGCTGCTGCTCTTAAAGCAGAGTGTTCTTTTGTCCTTCTGCCAGCGACTACATTGAAACTTGAAGGAAAAACTGCAAGCAGTTTTGTTGTTTGTTTGGTTGTTTTTTTTTAATAAAAAGAACTATTTACAGTTATTTGGCAACAAGGAATGGGTTATAAAATAGCAATGTTACTTGAGGATCATTAGAACTGTCATCCCATATTATAAAACTTGTATCACACATTCAGATTAATCAAAAGTACATCTATACTCTGTGGGTGTCACCCTTTCACTAGCTTTTTGTCCTTCCCTACAAATTAATAGAAGAAAACTTGTCTCCTAATGACAGAGGGAAGAGAGGGAGGGAATGTCTTATGCAGCTATATTCTCTATTCAGAAACTGTCTCACTGAGTCTGTCATCTTTGCACATATGTCATTTCACCACTCTCTGTGCAGTTTTATTTCCTGATATAATGAGCTGTTGGCTTTTCAGTGGGACCTGCAGGTGAGATGAGAGAGCAGCATGTAGGGCTCTGGTGGATGAGGAGTTTGCTAAAATCTAGTCAGGCACATTTGGTCACTAGCTAGGAGGATACACAAACACGGGTTCAGTTTCCTGCATCTGCTGGCACCTTGGGCTTCCTTGCAGAAGTAGCAGTTAATGTATTTGTAAAGTGTTTCTTACTGTGTCTGGTTACTCTTAATCAGGTCAAAACTAGGAGTGTCTGGACTTGGCAGAATAACTGATTTCAGTAAAAGTAGTAGGCTCAGTATAAGGATTTAAAGAAATGGAAACATGAGCCACAATTTTGTAGTTCAGCCTTAATGTTTGCAGTATTTCCAGCTACTGAGTTTGAAATAGACATTTTCCCCTTTTTAAGATAATTACATTTAAACCATTTAGAAATTTTATGTTAGCTCCTTCCACCTAAAGAAAATAGCAATTCAGAAAATGAGAAAAACTTTTCACTTTTTTTTTCTTCTCCCCTCATTCTTGTGAGCAACACAATCAGGCCTAAAGCCTGCAGATGGGCCAAAAACCCTACAGGTACCATAAGGATTGAGGTTTTCTAAAGTTAGCCTTTTGAAAAGTGTGGAGGAAAAATCCAAAAGTCTCCCAAAGATCTTTATTTGCCAAAGTCCCTGTAGCAATGGTGCAAGCAGGGGTGGTTTTTCCAGCATTAGTACTGGAACCAGATGAGTTTACTGTGTATGCCAGCACTGTTTAGCTTTCTTCTGCTCCTTTCTCCCAGGCCACTAGTTAAATCTAAAATTAGAGAGCATCGTGCTGCCTCTCCAGCCTCTCTCTGTCACAAAGGCTGGCCAAGGTACCCTGGCACTGCATTCATCCGTGAGTAAAGTGCAGGAGTTTGTCCCCAGTTCTCTGGCACCCCGTACCTGCTACAGATGTGGGGCTTTGGCTTAGCAAGACATCTGAACACAGCCTTGCTTGAGGGGGACCCCCTCCTCCCCCCCAACCTGCTAGGAAGTCAGGAAAGTCCTCTCCAGCCAAATGGATTGCTAATAATTTGGTGTTTGAAGTGGTATGGCTTCCCTCAGAAGAGCAGGGGTGCATCACCACCTCTCCCAGCCTGTGGCTGCTGGTTTTGGCACCCACTGAGAAGGAGGGAGGGAAAGTTGGGGTCCAGGTCCCAAGAGGCAAGCTGAAGTCAGGGTCTCCTCCCATGGGATACATGCTGGTGTGGGCAGGAGGCAGCCAGTGGCCATGGTGTGTTGCACCCAGATCTCTCCCTTAGCTGTGTCTTGGTGTGCAGTGCACACTGGTGCCTGTGGGAGGCTTTGGAAGAGTCTTACCTTGGCTGGCTGCCCAGCACAGGAGAGGCCAGCTGGGACACACACCTACAGAGACCTTCCAGTCTTGCCAACTTAAAATACAGGCAGCTGCTTTAAGTGCCTCAAGGGTTTGGGGATCACAGCCTTAGAGTTCAGCACCTTAGCTCCTCTTTAAGCACCAGAGCAGGATGGGCCTCCGGGGAAAAATGTATCAGGGAATTTCTCTGGCTTTATTTCCTGTAATTAGTGGCCTCAAAAATGAGAGAACTACCACTTTAGAGCATAAATGTATTTACACACCCACATGTAACATCTACTTGCCTGTGTAACAGCAAACTTTCAAATTAAAGGTAACTTCCCCAGCATTAGCTCATTTGTGCCGCAGAAGGAAAGCATCCAGATGCAAGACAGCAATTAGGCATGTACTTAGTTGTGGGTTTAACCCTGTCCTCTGTGTTTTCCTGAACTGGGGCCTTTGACCCAGTCCTTCAGACGCTGGAGCACACACCTACCTTCACAGCCATGATTAGCTCCAAGTGGAGCTACGTAACTTCAAATGGATGTTGAAGTGCCTGCAAGGAATTGCACAATAGTGGTAGAGGTGAGACTCCACATTATCCCAGTGCTGGAAACCCAAATGTCATTCCCTTCCTGCCTCTTTTGAGGTCTCTAATGTTTTCTGTCAGGATTGGAGATGTCACCTTCAGATGGTGCCATTGTCCAGTAAATAGTTTTAAGTATGGTGGCACAAGATTTCTGTATTCTGCTAAAAATAAATTTTCAGTAATTTGTTAAATGTGCCTAAGCTCATTCAACTGCTCCTTCAGATTGTCTTTTAGTCTGTGATATTTTATTTAGCAAACACTGAGGAAATTTGCTTTGGCGGTTCCAAATGGTTTAGAATTTCATTCTTACCTCAACATGGGAGGATTATTTTAGGATGAAGGGGTGGAGAGGGTAACAGTAAAAAAAAAAACCAAACCAAAACCAAACAAGAAAAACCCAACAAAATCCAAACAATTGCATTGACTCAGGACATGACTATTTGATAATAATGTTCATATATTGCAATCATATGATGCAACTTCCTGCTGCTCATGTCATGTTTGTCTCCTCAGTCAAGTACAGGCAGGTGACATCTTTTGGTCAAGCTTTAGAAAAAAAGTTCAAGCTGGGGGAAGATAATTTGCATATTTACAAAATATTTGGCAATCTTTTTGTTTTGTTAACAGGTTCAAAAAGACATTATTTAAAATGTTTCCAGTTCTATGAAGATTAACTTTGTAATGCTTTTTTCTTAAATGCGATTTATTCTTCTCTTCTTCCTGCTGGCCCTGACATGCTGGCCGTTAGCTCAGCCCTGTCGCTCGCTTTCCCTTTTGTTTATGGACAGTTTCACTTTCTGGTTTTGAAGCTTTTCTGTTTGGGTTGAGAGGAAACATCTGCACTTGCTTAAAAAAATGCCTCCTGGAATGTTCAAAAGGGCTCAGGAAAATGATTTTTAAATGATATGAGAAGTTGTCTTCACAAAATCAGAATTTGAGGACTGAAGTTGTCTTAATATTGAGAATTATTTGAAGGCTCCCAGAAAGACCTTCTCTGAGCAAAAGGTTTTCAAAGGCATGTCACACTGCCATGGACACATTTAGAAAACAGATGATCAAATTTTGTACTTCTGAATGTTGGTCTCTGTTCTCATTTTGAGTGGAAACAGTCTTTGTTTTGCCAGCTTCACAACTTCGAGGTTCTCTTTCTACTAGCAAAAGAGGTGCTTAATTTAGATCGAAAATGTGAATCGGCATAATTAAGCTCTACCACTCGAAGTGTTCAGTACCATCTCACTCCTGAAATTACTGTTGCAATTACTGTCTGCCTACAACCGTTTTTCAAGTTTTTAGAAAAGAACAGATCATTGTTTTTATGAAATGTTTCTCAGGCTACAGCTCAGAGCACAGGAACTGAGAGCAAAGTCTATAGCTCTGCAGCAGTCTGTAGCTGGAACACCCACACTGGAGTAACTTCAGGCAACTCCTTCACCCAAGTTTTATCAATACTTAAAAGTAACAGGAGTTTTGTCCCTTTTCCTCTTGCATGCGCTCACTGCTCTCAGATCTGAGCAAATAATCTGTTGACCTCAGTTAGACGTGTCAGGATCCTCAAGAGGCATGTCTGGGGTTTTTTCCTTTCTTCCACCCCCCCCATCACCCTCAGATCAGTAACTTAGAAATGCAGCTGCTTCATTCTTGTTTTGTTGTGAATCTCTTTTCTGTGTGTCCCTCTGACCACAGAAACTAGACAGATCTTGGAGGAGTATGTGCCTATATTTACTGTATATGTATGTGTGTGTATATGGGGGTGGGGGGGAGAAATGCATTTCAAGAGTGAATGGGAGACATTCTGATTGGTAAAAACTTAAATTGAAGATCACAAGTTCAAAAAAAAATTCCATTTATAAGAAATATATCTCTTTAACTTTGAAGTATGGCTCCTTTAAGAGCAGCAAGAAGGGTTGTAAACCTCTCAATCAGTTTCAGCCCTGGTTTAAATACACCTTCAGTATAAAACTGAAGAACCTCTCCTTGGCCCTGGACATTACCTTCTCTTATTTTACACAGTGCTGACACACTTGTTTATGTTTTGGTCTCTCTGGTGTTCCCACATGTCCCGTGTGCTCAGGTAATAAGGGAAAAAGCCAAGAGGGGATTTATGGACCAAAGATAGCTTGCAAACTAAAGAGAGCTGTCACAGTTAGACTTGAAAAAATATCTTTAAATATCATAACTTCTGTCTACACATGGAAATTAGTAGGAGGGACAGCTTTACTGGGAAAATTCAGAAGGGAAGAAAAGAGCAATTATCTTTAGTCAGTCAAGAGAGAGCATGGGATTGTTGCACAAAGAAAGTTACGATCTCTGCATGAGCTTCCTTTCTGTCACTCCTGGGCTTGCTCCTGCACATAAGGCACGTACATCCCCACCCTCATGTTTAACCTTGTGACAGTGGGAGCTCTTTCTCCAGCTGAAGAGGCCCCAGTTTCTCTATCACTTTTCCAGCACCACCAGCATTTCTCCTTCCTCTTCCCCTCCCCCTGGGTTTTTTTCTTTAAAAGAGAAAAGTGTCAATTTGAACTTCCTGCTTGACAGACCCCACTGAGAAACTGATACGGGCCTGATAAGGTGGTATTTATTTATTTTTCCTGCTGCAAGGCTTCACAAGTCCTGCCTCCCACCCCCCTGTCCAGGTTTCAGTACTGCCTGGTCTTGATACTTCCCGATGCTGATAGTGTCACCAGGAATGTTTGCTCTGAAACACTGCTGTGGTGAAAGGCAGCTGATAAGAAGATACAGATAATATTACTTACAGTGCCATTTTGAAGCTTCTTGAACCTAGTAGGACCTCTGTGCTATGCCCCAAAATCTGGCTGACATTTAGAAAATGAGTTATCAGTCCAGGAGTACAGATAAAATTGCCAAAGAAAGTAAATGTTTTTTAAAGCTGGAAAACACAACATGTTATTACTTTATTTTTGATACAGCTCTGCATTAAACTTTGGACACTAAGAGAAGTAATTGGGAAGCTATCTGTGTGCTTATGTGTGCATATGCTTGCTGTACAACACTTTAAAGTTTTATCATAAATATTTTAATTGAACCTAACGGTGTTCAATTGCATTTCATTGGAGCTTGAAAATACCCAAACTACTCAAAAATCTCAAACTAAATTTGCTTGTTACTAGTCTAATGCCATTTCAAAACGGATGCTACTGTAAAGTGGGTTGTTGTAAGTAGGAGCATGTTTTGCAGGCAGCTGTTTTCTTGGATAAGTTTAATAAATGGCTTTCTTTGCCTTATAGGGTAATGTTGCCAAATGATAGATTCCATCAGGGTAGTGAATAGTGAAGCAAAGAATCTGTGTTCAAAGCAGCGTGGTCATTGCCTGTTCTCATGTTCCTCACTTGGTTCAGATAATCCACCAAAAATCAGAAATAACTGTTTCTCACCTCAGACAGTGAAGTAAGAACAGTCAGTCACGGGAGCAGAAACGTTTCTAAAGGACTGCAGTGTTCTCGAGTCACGTGCCTACTGGTGTTGGCTTGTACCTCCTGATGGAAAGCCTTGCACTAACTATGATTATGAAACCTTCTTAGTTCCCCCCCCAATAATAAAATATCTTACAAGTAATCAAGATTATGTAACAAAGGTAAAGGCAGATTTGTTTTTTTACTGAAGTCATCTTCAGTGTGCTGTTAAGGTTGTATTATGTCCAGATAGCAAGGTCTTTGAATACAAATAAATAGAGTATGTGCTGACCTGAGATGAATGTATGCTAGCTTCTATGTCCTTCTAAATACATATTTCTTTCCCCTTTTTTTTTTTAAAGCACATTTCAACTTAAGCTGGAGCCAACCAGTCTTGCTTTCTTTTGCTTTGCTTCAGCATTTTTTTTATAAAATACAGCTGTAAGCAGAGGAGTTTTGCATAGACTGAATGCCACAGAAATCTGCAGTAAATAGTCTGCTTTGTTGTAGATGTTCCTAAGCAGTATATTTAATGAGTAATGATCTGTTTACTGATGGAGAATACCTTCTCTTTGAAGAAGGCTTTCATCCTAGCCAGCCATGGTTTTTTTGGTACTGTAAGTAATTGAACTGGCTGGTGAAGTGACTGCTGCGGTTTGGCAAAACCCGATTTGTCATGCCTTGTTATTTTACTGAGGAACATTTCTGGGAGCTTGTGTTCTGCAAAGTCCTTCAGTTAAACCTGTATTGTGAACAAATGCTCATTACCACATTTATTAGAAATACTGCTTAAAGAGACATTCAACAGCAAAGCTAGGCAAATTCAAGGGGTAAGAAAGTTGAAATCAGTTTGCAGAGTGGAGGCTGGCACTCTGCAAATGCATCATCATCCAGATCTCTATGTACTGGTTGGTATCCCTTAAATTAACAATGCTTTTTATTAACACTTAATACCAGCAGGCATTTCTTCACACAATTAGTTTTGTGGCAAGTTGAATGATTGCTCATCTCTGAGAGTAGCCCTTCCTTCCCACTAAACTTGTAGGGGTTAGATTCTGTTTTGAAAAGAGATAGCACCAGTGGCATATCTAAATAATCGTTATCTTGTCTTTGTATTTCAGCACAAACCCACGTTAATCCAAAGCAGCACAGCACTGATAAAGATGAGCTTTATCAGAAAAGTGTCCCAAAGAAGGAGCACAGTGTGAAAGAAATCCTGAAAATGGAATCCAATCCTCCTAAAGGAAAAGACTTCTTTCAGACCAACATTTCACCAGTTACTCCAGAAAAAGACTTGGATGATTTACATAAGAACTATAGCCCGGAGAGGTGTTTCTTCCCTCGAGTTGTCTACCCAATCCGACCTCACATTCCTGAAGACTATCTGAAAGCTTCCTTAGCATATGGCATGGACAGACCGAGCTACATCACTCACTCACCCATCCAGGCATCTACTACACCAAGTCCTTCCGGGAGGAGCAGCCCAGACCAAAGTTTAAAAAGTTCAAGCCCTCACAGTAGTCCGGGGGTCACAGTTTCACCTCTGGCACCTACTTCCCAAGAGCACAGAGAGCCATACTCTTACTTGAACGGATCATATGGCTCAGAAGGATTGGGGTCTTATCCTGGATATGCACCTCCTGGCCACCTCTCACCTGCCTTTCTACCGTCCTATAACCCCCATTACCCCAAATTCCTGTTACCTCCATTCAATATGAGCTGTAATAACCTGAGCGCTTTGAACAATATCAATGGCATCAACAATTTCAATCTCTTCCCAAGGATGTACCCTCTTTATGGCAACCTGCTCAGTGGAGGTAGCCTTTCCCACCACATGCTCAACCCCACCACGCTCCCCAGCTCATTGCCCAGTGAAGGAGGCCGTCGACTGCTGCAGCCTGATCATCCAAGAGACTTCCTCATACCAGCACCCAACAGTGCCTTCTCTATCACGGGCGCTGCTGCCAGCATGAAGGACAAGCCATGCAGCCCTACCAGTGGGTCCCCCACCGCTGGTACAGCAGCCAGTTCGGAACACATAATGCAACCTAAACCTACCTCAGTGGTGTTGGCTGCCACCGGCGGTGAAGAAGCCATGAATCTCATTAAAAGTAAGAGGAATGTGACCGGTTACAAAACCCTCCCATACCCACTGAAAAAGCAGAATGGGAAGATCAAGTACGAATGCAATGTTTGCTCCAAGACCTTTGGCCAGCTCTCCAATCTGAAGGTAGGCAGTGGAGAATAAGACAGGAGCCTTCTTTGAAGGCTCAGGTTTCTCCCTGTAGGCTTTCGAGGAAAAGCAGGGTCAGGCCTCCCTTGCTTTGTTAGGCTGTTTATGTGTCTGGGCTTAATACAGTATCCCCCAGCAAGAAAGCGTGGTTGTGTGCTTTAATACTGACGCCACCTAATTAACTAGATAACATTGTATTTTGGCAATGGGACTCTTCCGCTGACTTTAGGAAACATCTGAAAGCACTTTTGTTGTAGCACTGGAAACTGCAAATTGTTAATTGCTTTGTCTCTCCCTAGGTGCACCTCCGAGTACACAGTGGAGAGAGACCATTTAAATGCCAGACTTGCAATAAGGGCTTCACGCAGCTGGCTCACCTCCAGAAGCACTATCTGGTACATACGGGAGAAAAACCCCACGAGTGTCAGGTATGTAACACAGAGAGAGAGGTGATTCCTTCGGAGGCCAAAGGGATGGCAGGGCTTTGCACACCCCCTACAGTGTGCAGGGAGGGCTGAGGGACAAACCCTTGGCTGCTAAGGGCCAGAATCTGCACCACAGCCGGGCCCAGCCCTGGTGCAGCAGCGTCTGTGAGACAGCACGATTGCCTGCAGCCTGCTAGAGCAACACCTGCCTGATACAGTTTTGCCATCAGCCACACTCAAAATGACATTCAGCAATATTTAAATAAAAAAGGTGGGGATTTTTTTCCCTTTGTGAGAAAGTGTGAAGATATAGAAAGCTGCTGCTTCATCCTGCCGTCTCCTCCTAGGTGTCTGTGATTTAAACCATAAAATCGCCTCCCACTCATTCGCTGTTTCTCTGCCACCCCCCACATTAGGTTTGTCACAAGCGGTTCAGCAGCACCAGCAATCTCAAAACCCACCTGCGGCTCCACTCTGGAGAGAAGCCTTACCAGTGCAAGCTCTGCCCAGCCAAATTCACCCAGTTTGTGCACCTGAAGCTGCACAAGCGTCTCCACACCCGGGAACGCCCCCACAAATGCATCCACTGCCACAAGAGCTACATTCACTTCTGCAGCCTCCAGGTCCACCTGAAGGGCAACTGCCCCGTCGCCCCGGCCTCCGGCCGCTCCATGGAGGACCTGAACCGAATCAACGAGGAGATCGAGAAGTTCGACATCAGTGACAATGCTGACAAGCTGGAAGAAGTGGAGGACAATATCGACTTAACATCGATCGTGGAGAAGGATATACTGACCATGCTCAGGAGGGAAATGGAAGGAGCTAACCTGAAAGTCTCTCTGCAGAGGAACCTGGGCAATGGGCTTATCTCCTCAGGATGCAACCTTTACGAGTCGTCAGATATGTCAGTTATGAAGTTGCCTCACGGTCACCCACTACCTCTGTTACCTGTAAAGGTCAAGCAAGAAACAATTGAACCAATGGACCCTTAAGACTTTTTGGCAAAGTGATTTTTTTTATTTATGACTTGGCAAGTCAGGGTGCCTGTAGCAGTTGCTTGTACATAGTTTCAATGCTGCAAAGCAATCTTGGCTTACAGTAGTTTCCCTACGCTCTTCAGCTGAAAGAAGGAACTCCAAAGTTACTGTTTTCTCAGGGCATAAAAAGGGGCAAAGGACTCTGCATTGCCTCGCCAGTTACTAAGAGACAATCATTTATCCATAATTATTTTTTCAATGATAGTACTTCATAATTTATTATGCAATTAATCATTCTAAAAGCAATAATTAGGAAAATGTTTACAATGACTGGAAAAATTCATTGTAATTTTTACTTTAAATGTTTTTATTTTTTGTTTTATGGGCCATTCTTTGTAGATATTTTTTTTCTGCACATCTGTTTTAAGAACCTAAGATTAGGGTTTCAGTAAATGTGTTTTATGTACCAATGTCTTTTAAACAAATGTGGTTTTTCATATTGCCAAAGTTGGACATGTGACATACAGAATCCTAGATCTGTTGGTTTGAAAAAAAATGCTGTGTACTTTCATGAGCAAATCACCCCACTGGGAATTGAAAAGGAGAAAAAAAAAATAGCAAACCAACAACCCAGAGTAGCAGCAAGCAGGGAAGAAACTTTTTCTCCTGCCTCTCTTCAGGGGAGGAGAAAGATTCTTCTACCTGCAGCTCTCCCTGGAACAGATGTGGCACAGCAAACACCGACCTGCCATGGACAATACCACAGGTTTTTAGAACACAGCTCCAGCCCCACACATTATCATGTAACTTTAAGACCAAAGGAACACATGAGCCTAAAGTGGCTTTTCTAAAATAAAATCTCACTTACATTCTTTTGTTTCCAAAAGCAGTTTAAAAGCAAAGACACAAATATTATTCTGCCTAAAAGGGGCTTTGGGCAGATTTCTTTCTTCTGGTTTTTAGTTTTTTTGGGGGTTTTTTTTGGCCAGAGCCTTCCAGGGATAAAAAAAAAAGATGGTCATATTCCCTGAGAAAGAAGGGATTCAGTTTTACTTGTATTTTTCTCTCCCACTTTGCCTGGGTAGAAGTGGGGAACAAAGTCCTTTCCTGGCACATAAATTTTTTTCCTCCTTCCTGTACGACTCAGATTTTTCTCAGTATTTGTGTTTGTACATTTTGTGGTTAATTTAATTAAAGAAGAAAAGGGCATTGCAAAGTTGTTGAACAACAATTACCTCAGTGCTTGTGTCCAGTGGTGCAGACAATGCTGTTTTACCTAAATGCTTTGCTACTTTAGAGAAGAAACCAAAATGTGCACAGGGAAAGATAGAATGCACATCCTTTTATCTTTTTGTTTTGCTAAGCCCAAAGATGATATGGTGACGTTTGAGGTGTAGCAAAGAATACATGTATATTTATAGATATATTTATACCACTATACGATATATGTATATGTATATATATTTATACCACTTAAGTTGTGAGCCAAACCATGTAATAAAACCTATTTTTCATCTAAGTGTGAAAATCAAATGTTATCCCAGTTCTGCAAATAACCAATGACCTCAAAACCAGAAGGTTGAACCAAGGCATTTATCACTTGCAAATACACACACACAGCTGAAGGTGAAGCTGGAACTAGCAAACACGTGAATGACATCATCATGCATCCACGTGTGGCATCTCAGTGAATTTGGTGGGAATTACCCTGTTTGCAGGCCAGGGCTCCTTCAGTCCCCTGCTCTCCTGGCAGTCTGCACTGGGGGGGAAGGAGGCTGGTGGTCAGTCAACAGCCAGCCAGAAAATGTAACCGAAAGAACTTGAGAAGAAGCCAAATATGACCCGTGCATGATGTGGTCACAAATCACAGTAAGGGCAGCATGGAAGTCAGGTGGGACAAGGCCCTTGTCTCATTGTGCCCTGCCACTAACGAGTTGCACAGTCAACTCACATGAACATTATTAGCATTATTACACACCTCCCCACCATGTATCCCTTTTTGTCGGGTTATGTTCTTAAAAAAAGTTTTTAGAAGTCCACCTCAACAATTCAGGATTCGGTGGTCTTTTTTTTTCAGCAAACTTCATTTTGATGCCTTCTGTTAAAAAAAAACCAAACAATCCTGAAATACAAATCTCCAAACACAGCTTTTGAAGGACTCCAGTTCATTACATTTCCACTCCTGCAAATTGTGAGGCTGACATCTTTTAAATGTAGCAATAGTTCATAAATATAGTACTTAATTGTAGGATAAACCAAAGTATCACTACTCTGTCACTGGACACACACTTTTCCTATTATTGCCTGTAGTGCTTTCTTGTATTTGATACAAAATTTACAAGAATTTATATGCATCAGCTTTAAGAATTGTTACTTCTCTTTACTGTTTCCCCCTCCCCTTAGACGTTTTACATGTGAATGTAGCAACAATCAACAGTGTTTTTGGGGGTTTTTTTGTCTCTCCTAAGAAAGACTCTGACCAAAGTTAACAGGCTTTTTACTTTGCTAGAACAACAAACTATTATATGTTTACGTATTGGTTTACATCATTATTTATGTGCAAATTGTCAAATGTAAATTAAAAATAAGTGTTCATTGCTTTACTGATGCTTCCCTTGTCTTCAATCTCTCTGCACCAGCTGGGTGGTTGTGGCCCCAGCACTGGTACACTGAGGGTGATGGTGTCTTCAGCAATGCTGTCCCTGCCTTTGTGGGTTCTGATTTTCCTTCACAGAAAGGTGCAAACATCGATCCCAGAGCTGAATACGCTGGCTTCGTTTTGTACAGAGGTTTCCTCAATTTCAGCCAGTACCTTTTTTTAGAAAAAAAAAGCCAAGAATTTTCAGTGTTTCAATGGAAATGCTTGAATGCTATCTGCCTCAGAGATACATGACCAGGGTTCTCATTTACATTTTTCCAAATGATTGTCATTTCTGGCCTGAAACCCTAACCACCGGGACCACAATGACACACTCAAAATGTCAGTGTGAGACCACTTAGTCCTGTCTCAGCATGGTGGGAACTGCATTCAAAACAAATGTGGATCTGTTGTAAGTGCTCACAAAGGAGATGTGAACACTGCACTAAATCCAGGGGAAGGTCAAGTGTCCTCCCCTCCTTCCCCACCTCAGCCCAAGAGTAACAGCAGGCCAGGATGCCCCAGAAAGCTAATTCAACATTTGCTACTTCCATCATTTACCGTGAGATCTAAACCAGAGAGGCCATGTGCTGCCCTGCCCTACCTGAATGTTAAAGAAATAACGTTCCTGCACATATTGAGACACTCAGCGCCGTATGATGTTTTAAAAGTATTTCACTGTCCTCTTAAAAAAATTCATTTAAACATCTGTCTCAAGAATTTGAAATACTGCCAACACCGAACTGTGGAGTTAAGAAAACCAGAGCACTGTTGTCATAAACGTGCCAAATGCAGCATGTTATATTCCTATATTCGACAGAGCTATTGCTGTAATAATTTTTTTAAAAAAACATAGGATAACCATTACCACCATAAATCATACTTCATTACTTGGCAAAGCGTTACGTTGTGCTGGAGAGTTATGTCCTGGGGACACTTGTAAGCTTTAGAAGATGTTTAATAAAACACATTACATAAAAAGACAATGCACGTTATAGATCACAGCCGAGCGCGGCCGAGCGCGGCAGCTGCTGCCTTGGTTCCTGGCAGCCCCCAAGCCGGTGGGAGCCGCTGAGGGCTTGGGGGCTCCGAGCAGCGCTACAGTGGGATTCAGCCATGGCAACACCACCACCACCAGGTCAGACAACCACAACAGCCTTAGCAAGGGGCTGGGGAGGGCGGGGAAGCTCATCAATTCGGGAGCTGCCACAAACGCGGCCCTGCGAGACCGCGTGCCCCGGCACAGGGCCGCCGGCTGCCTGCGGGCAGGCAGGCCTGATGCCCATCCTGCTGTGTCAGTGTGAAAATGCTGAGGGGCTGAACGTGTTGGGCAGTGTGGCCTTGACAGCTGAGCTGCTTCGCCACAGGACAAGGTGAATTACAGCAGAGATAGACTTAAGCACGGATTTAGGGAGGATGCTGCTGCCCCTCTGGCTGGTTTATAAAGCCCAGTGCTTCTCGGCTGGTACTGGGGAGACACCGCTAATTCCCAGTGTGGGCAATTATGGCCTTGAGGTCGAAAATGAAAAATGTGACTCACTGAGGGGGTATGAGCCCTTTGGGTTCAAATCAGTATCTGCCAGCGCACGGCCGCGTCTCAACACGTGCTGGGACCGTGTGGGATGCAGCCCAGAACCTTTGCTGTCATTCAGAGGTGTTACATTAGAGTGAGGGAAATAGTTGTGGCTGTAATTAAAGGCAGCCAGGAAACACTTGTCTAATTACTGCATGAGCCGGAGCTGAGTGGATGCCGTGCGGCTGAGGAATGTGACCATCATGGGGCAGGTATCTGCAAAACACAGGCTGTCACAGTGGCTAGAGAAAAACTCACTGACAGCATCAAAGCAGCCGCCCTGGCTCTGAGAGGGAGGTTTCCCTCCTCTGTGCAGGGCTGGGGTAGGCTGGCAGGGAAAAGGCAGCTGCCTGGCCTGGGACTACTCTGTGGGGAGTACAGGTTGATATTTGGGTAACATCAGCACAGTCTCACCTGAACAGCAGAAAAACAAGAGCTTTTGGTAAAGATGTGGCACTTCCCAAAATCACAAGTGTTTAATTTTTCATGAGATGCTGAAACAGACTCATCCTGCAACCAGCATGTCTGCTGCCCTTCCCATTCTCCTGAGAAGCACATGGAAGAGCTGGCAAAGAGCACATTTGCACACCAGTGAAGGCCACCTTTGTACCAACTGTCCTCAGTGACAGAGTTTCTGACACACTGCATGACTCTGTTTTCACTCATTTTTAAGGGACTGGGGAACATTTCCCAGCAATTCACTGTGGCAGCCAAACAGGAGAGGGGCCGCTAAGCCTCACCGAGACACTGCTGCCCAAGTGCTGACTTCTGATGCAAAGCTGTATTCTCATCCCATGACAGAGGGGTCAGGTTGGAGGTGTGTGCAAGCAGACATTGCCTTCTGCTTCAAAGCCAAAGTATCCTTAGTTCCACCATGAGAGCTTGCAGCTTGGCACTCCTTCAGTGGTGCTCTACACAGGAAAACCCAGCCCAGGTTTGCCTGGGATGATGCTTTCCACCTCCAGGCAGCACAGGCTCTGCTGGCTCAGGCTGTTCAGCTCTACAAACTTCAGCCTGCACAAGCTCACCTAGGAAAGGCCCCTGAGACATCACCTCAGCACCCTTTTAGGGCAGGGCAATACAGCTCCCTGTGCCAGCCCAAGCCTGGAGCCTGAGCATCTGTCTCCTGGCACTTGAGAGGCACCTGCCAGGCATCACATCTGGCCACAAACTCCTTTCTGGAGCTGGGGGTTACAC